TGGGCTACAGGAAACTTTTCGAATCATCTGGTTTGACAAAGTATTTCAGTGATCCAGAGGCTCGAGCAAGGGGTGGCCCTGTCTAAATGTTTGATATATCAGGCAACCACCCCCTACCTTAACATGCACCCTGACGTGAGGCGCCCCGTCCCACATCCGTGAATCTCCTCGATTTGTTAGATGTGTTGCGACAGGTGCTCAAGCTTTCCATGCCTATTCGGGTGTAGGTGCTGCGGTTCAATTGCCTTGTTTCGAGGGGCAAGGCGCTACTTCCAAAAGTAGCAAGTAGGAGTATATGAAAGCTGACTTAGCGGGTGTGATAAGGAAGTACGCGTCATAATCAGGAATGGTACTTGATAAGCTTCCAAATATTTCAAAGCAAGTATTTGGATCATTTGACTTTTCCTCACCCTCACAGTGGGGCTGTTGGATTTTGAGGAGTTTATGCTCTCCCTAGCCCTCTGTGCAGTCCCTGGCGCAGAGTATCCCTACAGTCCCTGCAGTGCACAACCGACCTACGGTGCCCGATTGCTGCGGTGCCCAACCCTACAGCGGGACCCTTTACAGCCCTCATAACCCCTCCAAAAAAGACCCTATGTAGGCCTAATAGCCACTTATACGGATCCTACATCGTCCTTATAACCCCTGGATAGGGACGATATGTAACCCCTGTTAAAGCGACCCTCTCCAGCCCTCATAACCCCTTTAAACGGGCCTCATGTAGGATATAGTAGGCCTGAAAGGCTTTGTAAGTGCTCGAAGTGAGTAAGTTACTAGACATTGGAAGGGATGGAAAAATGCATGAAACATGTAATCAAAATTAGGGGTTTGCTGGATGTCCAATGCCTCTCTGTTTTTCAATGTTGGGGCACGCAGGAAAAAGAAACAAGACTAAAGCCAATTCAACTGGAATTCAGGGCTTCCTTAGCTTTCCACGTGTTTCTTGTTGTTATGGTTTGTTGAACAAAATTGATAGACACAATCGAAGAAAGCAAACTGCAGTTTAGAATCTGCTTAGTTTCCTAATCAGATAATTGTTTGCTTCATTGGATTTTACTTGCGGCGCCATATACGTCCTTCAATCAATATCCCTATCAACGCAAGATATTTTGGGGGACTACGATCATTCATTAGTAGGTGGAAGATGCATTTGAGTATCAAAGAAGCAGTTAGTTGCTGAGCGAGTGCAGGGTGGTCGAAGCTGCTGCAAGTCTCCGTAGCACACGGAGCACAAGCTTTTGCTAGCGCTGCGTTCAAATAAAAGGGGCACAGCAGCTATCTTTTTTGTGAAAGAAGCTTATCATTGGACTTTTATTTATGAGTATTGGTGCTGATAAGTAATAAGTCAAACTGCGCAACTTTGGGGGCTGGACATGGATTGTCGATCCCGGCGGTGGTAGTTCCCTGGAGAAGCTTTCAGGTTGCGCAGAGTCTGCAAGACAAAGCGAGACGCACAGCAGAGATCCCCAGACTGATGACACAACCTCCGTCGGCTATCATGTGGGTTGCGCCGGCAGGGCATTACCACCAACACCCCTCGAGAAAAAACCGCGCTAGAAGAGTCCACAAGGGTAACCCGTGCACAAGACTTGGTTTAGTCAGCCTCTCTGCTAAGGTCGCCCAAGCCTGGCCAGCTGCCAGAGATGTGGTCCTTAGTGCTGGACGAGGTCAAGCTGGCATGTTTGTTGGCAACTTGCTGGCATTCTGCAGAATTGCGGTGTGTAGCACATCAGTGTTTCTTTCATGAGCTGCATGCGCCAGATCAGCGCGGCCTCTCGGCAGCTGGCCTCCACGTCTGAGTCGCCCTGGTCAGTGCCCTCCGAGGCAAACACGAGGAGCTCACTTCCAAGAATTTTAGAATGTGCTCCAAGCCTGAGCAAACTCCCCCCACCGTGATCAGCTTGCAGAAGCCTTCAAGTTGCGAAAGCAGAGATGCTTCAGGCTGAGAAGATTACGTGTCTCTTTTCAGGTGCCCGGGGAGTGCAATGACACCGCTTCTGAACGTGTTTGGCAGCCATGGTCTTAGGCTTTGATTGTGTGTTGTACCTGCCCGCTTGCACGAGTGCCTGTGCAATCTGCCAATTGTTGGTCCACGAAGGTCAGACGGAGAAATTGTGCTGCCGTTGAGCCCAGCCGGCCTGGAGGCACATGGCCTGATAGACCAAAAAAGTCAGCCAGACGCAATTGTTGCGACTTGCAGGCACCCGCGGTCTGGGCGGCTGAGGCATGTAGTCCAAAGAGAACCCAAGAGGCTGGCTCAGATCCTACCCTTCCAAAATCCTCTGCACCCAGACGATGCTGCAACGAGTTTGTTGAAGTCCCTTTGCCAGGATTCCTCAACGTCGGCCTCGGAGACTTCACAGGACAGCTGTGCTATTGGACAGGCTTACAGGCCGGATACAATCACTCTTCAAGAGAGAGAGAGAGAAAGAGTGCACGCACCCGCAGAAGAAGAAGGCGAAGAAGAAGTGCAGGCATTTGAGAAAGGGGCAGCTGGTTCAACTGTTTCTGGATGAAGCGGGACCAGTACGTTGTTATACAGGTCGGCAAGTGGAAATCTGGAGGAACTTGTGCTACCCCAGGCCTCCTGGGTGCCAACTCACAATGTGGGAATGGGTGAAGTAGTTAGATGCACGGGGGCTATTCATTGATCCTGAAGCGACCTTAAAGCGTTGTGAGGGGGCAAGACCATGACTCCGGTCCTCGCGAGATTTGAACTAAGCCGGACGATTTGCGGGTCATGGGGTCTGCCCCTCCGTGCTCCCTGGGGAGTGCATAAGACCCATAGAAGAAGAAGAGAGCGAACAAAGCAAAGCAAAGCAAAAGAGCAGAGAGAGCCAGCCTGAAGGCCAAATCCAACTGACCGAATCGACCTGGCGCTTGCAGCCTTCTTGCGACACCGCCGAAATCGCCTGCGCAGGCGGTGCTTGCGTTCCAACAAGTAACAGATCTTGGATTCTCGGATTTCTGCACGTACCTGTGGTTGCTTAGCTTGTGGAGCGCAAGTTGCGGAACTGTCAAACAAGACCTGCCCAGTATGCAGTGCAGCACAGCAGTACAATAACAGCGCCGGTTAGCTGCTGTTGTTGACAACGACTGCCCAAGATTGATCAGGCCAGTGATGTGATGCCCCCCAACGCTTCTCCATGTTTGCAGGTCCCTTTTTGCGAGGCTTGCGCACGGCTTGTATCGTGTTTTGGTTGCACGCGATATGTTGAGGAAGCAGACCTGAAGAAACATGACAAACCCCACAAATGGTATGGTTGGTGGCTGTTAGGTCGGTGTTATCTTTTTGGTCCATCTGCGTGCATGAGCGGCAAAGAGAGAGCTGCAAGAAATGTCGCCTTGCAAGCACCATGTGCGGTTCACCAGATTCTGTAAGATGGTCATTGCGCAAGGCCTGTCAGAAACACATCTTACAGGAGGAGGCGCTTTAAAGTAAAGTAGCTCCCGGGCCTTTGCTTAGGCTATGGCACACGCCGCGCCGTTCTGCGTCTGACTTTCTGTGGCAGGGAGCTGGAGGCAAAGGAGGCGCCATGTCAGCAAACCGGGACAACTGGAGCTCAAGTGCCAGCCGCAGAGAGAATGGAAGTAGAGGGATGCCACATCTTCAGGCGACCGACAGCGATTCCAATGCCTGGGAACCGCTGGAGGTGCCTAGTGCGTCTGCTTGGCAAGCTTTGCTACTCAAGATATAGCTACGTGCAGCTTCACCTACCATTGCCAAGGAATCGCTACATGATCTCACTGCATTGCCTCCTGTAAGTTGTTCTTTTTGGTCCCGTTGAATCGAGCTCGCCGAACTTTCCTGGTCTGCTTGTCGGCCTGGCAAACCTCCGCTGCATGGAACCAAAAAATATCACACCTGTTCATGGTCTGCTGCAAGCTTGGAAGTATGCAATTGTGGAGCACAGGTCAGGCTTCCACAGCGTTGTTTTTGTATCTCGAGGATGTACCCGCAGCCTCGAGGAGTCGGCGAAAGTAGGTCAACCAGCCAGGCCGCAAAGAAAAAATCCGAATCACTGAAGGGCCTGGGTACCCGAGAACGCTTCATTATGTAAATGCGATGCCTGGACTGAGCCTGCTCAGGAGTTCGCACGTCGTGTTGAGCGCGAGCAGAGCCGATTGCTTCGCCGTGCTCGTGAGCGCGCGAAGGCCATGGCCGTAATCTGCATGCCTTTGATGTTGCTGATGCTCATACTGCACAATCTCCTTTTTTCTTTCAGCAAAGGTGTCAATCTGAGTCCATGAGTTGTAAAAATAAGTCCCAGCTGGACAAGGCAGTGTAGTGCCTGTTGCATGCAGGTCCTGCACGCGATGCCAATACAAGCCTGATTTTCTGATGCGCAGTGTAGGAGTGTAGGCTGGCGGGATGCCGCCACTGCAGCTGCGCAGCCGCGCAGCTGTGTCATGTTGATGAAATCGCCAGGGTTTTTCCTGGTCAAACGCTCGTAATTCACGCAAGGTCCACTGCCAGAAACTTTGCAGGTGGCCTGCTTGTTATTGCTGATTACATTACGTGCAGAGGTGTCAAGAAGCATGTGTGACGTAGGATGTAGATAGAGGGCGTGTAAGCTGGACGTCCTACAGCATGCTTCATAGAGAGCTGCACGTGCTTTGCCTCTGTACAGCGAGCACTTGGTCCTGCGTAGCAACACCAGAACAGTCCACATTACAAGTAGTTGTGCAAGTAGCCCTTTGAGTGACGCATAGCTTGCTGCTGGCCAAAGCCACTGGCAAAATGCCAACCAAGTGCTTTGAGAATCGGAGGTCGGCCCCTGCATTTTCCATCGGAATGGCTGCTGTTCAGCAAGGTTGCAAGCTGCACAAGCTAGGAACACAGATTGCGAGATGAGGATGCTGATTATCAAAAGCCGATTGTAACTTTGAAGCAGCGCAGGCACTACCCCAGTAGCCTACCGCGCGACTGGTGCAAAATACAAGCACCATTTTCGGTTCCGATCTTGGTCTGAAACGTCCTGCTGAGTTGTGAACCAGAGGTACACGCGCCTGAAGTGCGGATCCAGCGATCGTGGACGAACCAACGTCACGACCGCAGCGTGGCAGATGCTGTCTCAATCCGTTTGGCAATCTAGAATGCAACGTTGCCTCGTTGCCCTGCATCTGACAGCCCCAGACCCGGATGAGGTGTTCACACTGGAATACGATCTTCTTTGCCCTGTCGCTTTGAAACACTCGGCCGGTGCCATCCTCAGCTTGTTGGCACTGTATCGAACCGTTCAATATTTGTTGCCCAGCAGTGCATCATGTTCTCCTTCAGCAGAGTTGGAATCGACATCCCCTTGGCATCTTGCCTCTCAGGGGTACTGTTGTTGAACCTGATCTTGCGGATGTGGTACACTTCCATGGTTGCTTGTGCGGGGGCCTTGGTTGCTAGTCACGTGCAGCGGCGTCTTCTCCACAAGAAGGTTGATGAGCAAAACAGACCAGATGCTGCCGGTAGTCAAAACAGATGCTCATGCCTTGCTAAGTGACGTTAACCTAGCTCATGAGATGCCATCTTGGCTGCGCATTGAGGTAATGCACATCGTTGCACCCCGAGACCTGCCTTTCGCCACCCATTCCATGATAGTAGCTGGAGCCCAAGTCATTCTGCATACCTGTACGTAATCAGCCCGCCAGCCCATAGCATGCTGCAACCGAGAGTGTTGTCTGCTCACGTGTGTTTGTTCCTGCAGGAGAATACCTTGACTGTCGCGGTTCGGGAGGAGGACGTGGGAATGCAGAAAGAGGACCCGTTGCCAATGCTGCCCTATCAGAGATGTTGCATTGGGCTGCGACTTGCAGGCATGTCCCATCTGCTTGGAATGCTTCCAAGTTGGCGACAAGGCTGATATTCTAAGATGATGGGGTGGCCTTGGCCCTTCCAGGGTTGACAATGCCAGGTGCGGCGGCTTCCTTGCATGCACCTCTTTCACGTCGTAGGTTCCAGCCCCTGCATTTGCAAATCAACTCACAATCAATGTCTATGTAGCACAAGATAGTTGCGGCCGAGGCGGTGAGTCTTCATCCTCCCAAGGGCGCCACTGCAACATTGACAGGCCATTGCGCGCCAGTTATGGGTGTATCTGCTAGATGGCTCAGCCTGCATGGACTTGAGGCACTTAGTCCTGGACAAGCAGTGCCCAGTCTGCAAAACGCCCATTGACATCATGGTGCCTTGGCTTATGTCTAGTTGGCTTGAAACCCAAGAGGAGTTTGAGAGCCACCAACATCCGGCATGAAGTGCGTGCGACTCTGTGAATGCTGCGGCTGCTCAAGGAGAAGATGGAGCGCGAGCAGGGTCAAGCAGCCATTGTCCCGGTATGTTAGACTTACAACCGGATAACAGGTACCCGAGCCCTGTCCCCAAGCACCAGGCTGCCCCGGCTACCGCTCCAGCAACAGTGCTGCCCCCGGTCCAGCGACAAGACTCCAGTGTAATTAATGCTGCAATTACACCACTTTGGCTAGCAGTGTTGAATTTGAATCCCGTTCATCATGTACACTTCGTCCTGGTTCCTAGGTCAACGACGAATCACAAGGTGCCTTGGCGTTGAGTCTGGACTTGGCAGGTACGTTCTCAGGTAGATCGTACTTCTTGGAAAGTCTTGCTGTATTACTTTGCGCCCAGGGCACTGATTGCCAGAGAAGGTTCATCAGAGCCTATGTAACCTTGGTCAGAAATGTTCAGTTGCGAGCCGTCAGCCAATAATCCTTTCCCCGTAATATAAAATGTCTTCCCCGAGGTGTATACATTACAACAAGTATTCAATATTGAGCGGGGTGCATTTATCGTACGACCCGACGATTAAAATCAAATGACAAATCACATAAATCAAACAAAAAAAGATCTCGTGAACATCGCAATGAAAACCATTGAAAATCGTAATCGAATCCACTACAACCCAATACGAACAATTGAAAGCCCATTAAAATCTTATAGGAATCTAACAAATAATGATTCAAAAGTGCAATTATTGAAATCACTGAAAATCGCATGCGGATTTTATATAACATCATTTACCAAAACCGTTGAAATACAATCCCTATTTATCCCTATTTTAGACATCCTTGAGTCATGCCGGGGACCCGCCCCCTATTTGAGAGGATCCGAGCCGTAATTATTTTAGCTTTGGCACTTTTCAAAAGTAGTCTTGGCGGCAGATTTCATAATTCGGAATGCTGGGGAAACCGTATTTTTTACTATCAGGAGGGAGGAATTATTCAAAAACGACAATTCCGTGAGCCAAGACATGCCTTTAGCATCGCAATCTTATCATTCAAGCGGTGTTTCTCCGCGTAGATGAATACTCCACCCTACAACAGTGCGGCATACCACGGCCAAAGGCCATGAATGCCGCACAATCATTCAATCACGTTCCCCAAAACCTTCCAAAGCACCTTGCAGATGCTGGTGGTGGCCCTGCATCGCCAGTAGCTCACTCAGCTCTGCTTTGGGTTCTCATGAGGCCATCCACGTGCAATGCGCAGGCGGTTCAAACAGCGGTGTCCAGGTGCAATGGCGGATTTTGTTATCTCTCTTACGGATCAGCTGTGTGTTCACGCCATTTATCTTATGTGGATAGGCAAGCAAAGATCAGTTGTTTCCGAAAACGTTAGTGCCGCAAGATCATCCAAGATCGGAGGGAGCTTCTGCTGAAAGCGTCAGTTCCAATTTCGCAAGCTCAAGACTTGTTCCAACTGCGCCATTTGCTCTGACTCCAGACCACATTCATGCCTCACATGGTAAGATTGAAAACGCGTTCCTCGCACAGGATCGAGGTTTGCACAGGCAAGTTGCTTGAGGCTTCTGACTCACCCTGCAGCAGTCCAGGTTGAAGAGCCACAGACACAAGCCCCGGAAGCGCCTGATGCCTCAGCGCTGAACAGCATTCCAGCAGTGTCACGACTATTCAGCGCAAAGTTTGTGAGGCAGAGTGCATTTCAGGCAAATTCGGGGTTTCTGGCAGCCCCCCACCGGTTCAGAGCGTTCACAGTTCTTGAGGTAAAACATCATGAATTGTCCCATGGCAATGCTTGCTGCCGTGAAATGCAGGCCTCAACCAACTGCGGGCCAAGAGTCAACAGACGAGGCACGAGATAATGAGGGTTGGTTCGAACAGGCAGGTGACTTTGTTGCCTGGCTGTTTGGTTGCTGATGGTTGCTGAGGCGACCATCGCCCGACCACTGGAGCCTGCGCGGATGACTCATAGGGTTTGTCTTTGGGGGCCTCAATGCTGTGAACGGCCTTTAGCTTGGACTTACAAGCAATGAGCATAATTAGCATGCGCTCTTTGGCGAGGCTCTCGCCAGAGCGGTTGCCGGAGCAGGCAGCGCCATGTTTCTGACTTGCTTTGAAGACACTTTTAGGAGGGCTGCAGGCTGCCAGGCAGAAACGGACTGAAACTCTGAGCGGCAGGCAGCAGAGCTTGAGCGAGTTGTCCGAAGCTTGCAGTACCAAACCCAGCATACGGTAATACGCGGTCTGCGCTTCGAAGTACACTGCTTTCTGCTCACTTGGTGTTGATCTTCTGTTTTCTTTTCTTTTTTGTTTTTCTTCTTCGGGGCCCCAAAGTGGCACGATGGCCTGCAGCTTGCTTTGCCCTAGGAGTGCAGCCCCTTGCGCAGTCTGTGCAAGTCCCAAGTCTGTGCAGAGGTCAAGATGGCTGCAAATTCAGGCCCGAAGACCACCAGACCTGATCGGTGTGAGACGACATAAGTAGAGCTGATATGGATACTTACGCAGTACTTTCAGCATGCAAAGCTGGCAGCTGAGAGCAGGCCAAAGCATGAATTGGCAGGACGTTGTGGCTGGCGTTCAGCAGATGCTGCACTACATCGAGGAATGCTGTTGACCTTGTTTTGGCCGATCTGAATAGGAGTCCCGGAAGCCAAGCAGAAAACTCGTAGGTGATGCAATTTTGTGCAAGAGCCTTCACTCAAGAGGCATCCAGAAAGACGAGCGGAATGCTGCGTAGACCGCTGGCATCCAATCATGTCACTATCATGTCGGGCCAAGATTTTTGCATGGCGTAAGGATGCGGAGACGTGAGTGAACTGTGAGTGACCTCCGATAAATGATAGAATTGCACACATCTCAAAGTGAGTGAATTGCACGGCGGATTCAGCATGTTGGTGCGCATGTTTCCGTAGAAGACATTCGGCATCGTACCTGTATCAGCCGCCCGACGTGCAAGGACAGCCAAACTGCTTTGACTGCAGCCCGGACTGGTGCAAACAACACAGGCTGCAAGTTGCTGCAAGGTCGGTTTTGGACTTGGATTTGGTGACTTGCCACTCCAGGGCAAGACACCACCCAAACGGCGGCGCAAGAGGCAGGAGCATGCACCATCAGAAGACGGATAAATGCACGCCGAAGGAACAGAAGTAGCATGGCCATTTGGACTCAGGTAGTCAACCTTGGAGGGGGAATCGTGCCGTGTGTGCGAAGCAGACACATAGTTTCAGAGGTGAGAGATGTGCGGATTTTTCTGGGCCTGCTCTCAGCTGAACAGGCGGCCCCAACGGTGGAATCTGAAGCAGCCACTGTCGATGCTCCTGCCCGTCCAGTTGCTGTGGCAACAGCCATACCTGAGGGCCCTGCACTGGCACCATCAGCAAGTCCTCCGGAAGAAGTACAAGTCGAACTGCAGTTCGAGGTGCAAGTAGAGGTAGGCCAAGCAGAACCAGCAAACGAAGCAACTCGCGAAACGGAGCCAGTGGAGACTGGCGCGCCGGCACCTAAGCGCCACCTGAATAGTACTGAGGGGGGTAGGCTTAGCTGCAAGCAGAGATTGAGGCCTTTGGCACCAACAGCAAGTGCAGCTCATTCCGGGCAGGCGCAGTTGTTCCAGAGGTTGACGCCTGTCGCGCAACTAGCAGCTTCTCGGACGCTTGCCAAGACCAGGCTCAGATCCAACGCAGTGACATGTAAGCTACTGCCGCTATTAGGCTTACCAATCAGGGGCCATTAAGGGTGGAAACGGGGTCCCTTGGGTAGTTGAGTAGTCCCCATGACAGTATAATCCCAAATAGGAACCCATGCCCATTAACTGCACCGGCAATATTGGCTGTAGCTCATGTGTCTAGAAGGCCAGGTTAGTTTTCAGTTCATAACGCTCAAACGCGCACGCAGCAAGAGCATAAGCCGGACAAGCCAAAGCTCAGAGCAAATAGTCGTCGGTCCTGCTTCGCACCCATGGCCACGACCTTGGTTCAGACTTTGGTGGTGCGCGAGGGGAAGGCGCGATGCAAGATGAGCAGATTAGCGGTAGGCTTTGGGGGAGCGTTTTCAAGGTTTGTCCTATGTCGTAGATGTCGGGACGGTCTCACTGTTCAGGTGCTCCTTGGCCGCTGGAAGCCTGGCTCTGGTGCCTTCGCTGGCCGCATCACAGCCTTGTTGGGTGCTGCAAAGCAAGAGGGAGGCGCTTTTGCTTCGCGAAAGTTACACAAGGGGAACTTAATGGTTCGTAATTTTTACACATCTGCCTGAAATTACGCTACTGCTAAGGCAAGGAGCGTTGAATTCATAGGCCCTCGTGGTCCAATGCTGCCATCTCGCTCGCAACCCTGAGGAGAGAGGCCATCACCTGAGGCCGCAGCTGCTTCTACAGTCGCCACGCTTGGAGGTGGGCTGTAGCGGATCAAAACTTGGCGCCAAAAAGCCCGCATTGCCGGCCGCCGCTAGGATCTCTGGAGATCGCTCGCCTGAGGCGCAGAGGCCTCTTCACCTTCAAGGTGCCAGCCCAGCGCTGATGTCAGGTTTTTCAGCTTTCATTTCTGTGTGATTTCGTTGAAGCCGGTTTGACAAGTTCAGTTCCTTTCTGCAGGAGTTGGATGCTAGTCATGGTGCTGCCATCGCCCTTGGCGAAGAGTATAAGGAGCATCAGATGGTGTACCGATCCTCCTGCTGCAGTATCGTGACCCCTTTGCCCGGATTGTCTAAGCCAGAAATGCTGGGTGCCGCGAGCAAAGTGGCAGTCATTAGTGTGAGGCCTGGGATGACCTGCCAAGTCATAACAGAGCGAGGTTGGGAATCAAACATATTCGCAGGCGAGCGGGGCCCCCACGCCAAATGATGTAAGTCCTGGGGAACAGGTCAAGATTGTCCGGTGGCTTGCCGTGGACCTATTGTTTGTGTTGGGAGTCCGGCAAGGACTGCGCGCCGGCGAGCAGTTCCAGCTTGCACCCAACGATCGATTTGAGCAGATCGGCTGGTTTGGCCAAGGCGCAAGTCTGAAGAACAACATGTATTGCGGTTGTTGCCATTCTTGCTACCTGCATCCGCTCAGAACTCGGGATGACAATTTCAATCTTCCGTTTGGAGGACCCTTTTTTTAAACAAATGGCTTGCTTAGCAGCCATGTTGTGAACCAATGCGTCTATTCAGGGGTGGCTCAGGCTTAGGGTGTTGAAGTGTGCCCCAGCACCCAGCCTGTTAAGCTGCAACTGTTGATCACTAGTTGAGCGTAGGATCTGGCAGGTGAGATTCCGTTTGATGAAATGCCAGAAGATGACAAGATTTGGTACGACCAAGTCCTCTTTCAGGACGCAAGGCTGCGCGGCAGCTTTTCCTTCCAAGGCCCTCGAAGATTTGTCACAAGCGGTGCAGCTTTCTGGCCCTTCCACCTTGTTCTTTTCTTCTCTGCTATCGGCTGGTGAAGGCGAAAACTTGGTCAGCCACGATGTCCATGGGGTCTCGCCAGAAGAAGGCAGGGATGCGAAGCATCAAACAAATTCACAACATTTTGTAGAAAATCACCATGAATGCAGCACGCAGCAGCCTGCTCGCCCCCTGCAAAACAGCATGAGCAATAAGGATAGTAGTCGGCAATATCTTTCCAGCCTTGCTGCTAAGATTACAGGGTTTCATCGAAACGCTAGTGCGTGTTTGCCTCATCATCTTGACCGGTACGTGTTCGGCTGCCCTCTGCGTTAAAGGCGTTCAGTGTTGCCATGTCCACTGCAGCGCATCGGACCTTGAGGCGTGCAAACTCGCAAGGCGGACGGTGTGCAGCTAGGAGAACTCTCGATTTCTGATCCTGACGCAAGCCTCCGTGCGCGTCGGCATCTGCACAACATCAGTCGGTATCTCTTGCGTATCAGAAGCTTATGAGCGCGAGACATTTGTTTCTTCGCACACGCATTGATGACGGATGCATCACCAAGACGAAGCCTTGCTGAGTTGATTTCCATCTATTCAATCCGGAGATAATGCTGGTCAGAGCTGCTGGCCACGGAGTTGTTTGATTTGATCTGAAGATTGCTTGATGGCAGGTCTTTGCCACGAAGATCCCATTGACATTCCGCTGCCACTGATGCATGGCGAGGAGAGCAAACTAGAGGGATGAACTTTCAGCCAAGCAGCTTTGGGCCCTGCCAGGAGCCCTTGCTGATCTCGAACCCCAGCTGTTCCAAGAGCCGCGCGCTGCAGGAGGTCAGAAGATGTTGTATTCTTTCCGTCTGAGACTCTTTGGCATGAGCAGGCTCTGGACTCAGCAGGCATCCGGTACGCTGAGCGGCTCTACCTACAGGCCGGGCATAGCTGGGGATGCTTGTGAAAGCATTAAGGCAAATCAGTTTCGCAGGCAGAAAGGAGGGCTCCAAAAAACAAAGCCGATGTGGGGGAGGTCCTGAATGTAGGTGGTAAGTATGGAAGACTCTCAAGATCTCCCAAGCATCTTGGTCTTCACAATGGTTTCCTGCAGACTAACAAGCGAGCATCAAGACCTGAGCAAGATGCTCCTGAGCTTGCAACGAACTCTCCTGGGGCTGGTATTTGCTCATCGCCCTTCGAACCTGGGTAATGACCCAAAAGCTGTTCATTTAATTTGGTGCCCCTTGCGGCTGTGAAGTCGTACATGAAAATGTTCACTTCTGTCCCAGGCTATGCGCAGCCGTGCATGGAGTGCTACTGAGCCATTCCATCAAGACTTTAGTCCCAACGCTGTCGGGTATTGGCATTCCCTAGAACACCCTCCACCCAAGTACATGGCGTTGCCCCCCTGCAGCCCGTGCCAGTTGTGGCAACTTTTGTGACATTGCACAACGCGCATTTAGGCCCCGTTAAGCCTCAGCGAGCTGGAAACGCTATCCGCTCGGCTGCAGGCCGGCTCCCAGCAGGTGCATTTTGCATGTAAGAGTACAATCTGGAGAATCGCAAGGTCGCAGAAGGATCTCCTGCAGGTGCCCAGCTCTGTAGCGGAAAGATGCGGAAAGCTTAGGGATTGTTGCCGAGAAGACCTGCCATGAAGGAGACATGTTCAAATCACCAGCGTTGCTTACGAGCAGCACGTAGATTCTTAGATGAGACTGTGGGAGGTGCACTTTGTCGAGACGCTGAATTGGCTACTTCGAGGAGCATTAAAAGTCTTCTGGACAGGCGGCACAAGCTTTACGCGGAAACATGCGCTGCTTCAGGTTGCATCGTCGGGCGAGGACGAGATCCTAGAGGCTTCTGCTTTACCGCGTTTCTTGCATGATCTGAAATAAGAGGTTGCTGGTGGTGGTGGTGGTGGTGAAGCTGCTGCTGCTGCTGCTGCTGCTGCTGCTGCTGCTGCTGCCGCTGCCGCACTGGTCTGCAGAAAAACATTTCATGCAGCATTCCCATTGAAGTGTATTGTTGTGTTCGCAGAGGCCCCTGATTTACTCCTACGTAAAGATGCTATCGATACAGATGGTGCGTTCTTCCTTTGGCTGTAGGCTGTGGCGGAACGTGCTGAGCTTTTGCAGCGACCGGCACCTTCGAAGTGAAACGTGCTACGTGCACTGCGCGCCTTTGATTCCACAGCACGAGTTGGCTAAGGTTCTGGTGAGAGGCTTCCGAGCTGCATTTGGCCAACAGCTCAGGCAGGCTTCGGTCGGCGGGCTTCCAGGGATTCAGCATTGCTCTCCGTCACACTCACTACAACCGTATGGGCCTTGATCCTGGCAAGCTTCGTACGAAGAAGCTGACAGGACTCTGATCTGGACACAGTCAGGAAACACAAAGTCAAAGACTGTCTGAGCCCTCTTGGCTTGCAGAGATATGCAGTTTGTGATGAGTCATCACTGGTTCGCAACAAAGATAATGAGGTGCATGTCAAATTGAAAGTCTGATGGGAGCCTTTCTGGAAATCTCAGCGTCTCTGACCAGGCTTTTGAATTTAGGAGGCTCAGAGCAAAGAGCTCCTGGCACAGAATCAACTTAGGACCTTCAAGACTTTCCGAGGCTCGGAAGCGCATTCGGGGTGGGGGCCGGTGCAAACCAAAGCTAGCCTAAAGGCTTCCTGCTGTTCTTCATAGTTCATCTAGGTCCGTATCCAGATGTCTGCCAGATGTTTGCAGAATGTCTCTGCTGTCAACCCAATGCTTGGAGGGTCCGGGCCAACCACTTCATCTAGTCACTAGTCTTACAGCGCAGTGGGCTGGTCCATCGCAGCACGTCTTGCATCTTCTGGACAGATGAAGTGCCTGCAATCCAAGTGTATGCTTCCCAAGGTCGGCCAAGCCCCACGGATGCCATGAGACTGCTGTGAGCAGCAAAAAAAAAGGTGCTGAATCTGCAGCCACGTAGTTGCGGGGATTGAGCTCACCGGCATTCTCGGTACTCTACCATATTCTAGATGCATCTTGCAGGTCACAGCAGCCCCAACAGCCCCAACGCCGCAGCCTCACCAGCCACACAACGGAATCTGGCTTGCACGCACCTTGTGTGGCATGGTTGCAACAACATGTTGTTTTTGCCAGCTGGACACAGGCCAGGACCAACACCAGAGCAAGAGCCCTGCCCCACGCAAGAGGCTTGCAAGTACTGGGAGCCGGCCAGTCACAGCTCCCCAAAAGAAGGAAGAATTGTCTTGCGCTGAATCGGTCACCACTGCATAGCCAGCAGCAACTTCGACTGAGCCAACACCGACTCTGATGCAGGGGGCACCGGCACCCTGGCAGCCTTTCACCTACACCGAGAAGGCCACTAACCGCAGCGTGACGCGCAGTGGGTTGAGGAAGCAGAGGCAGCTTCAAAAAACATGTGATGGCCACAGTACACTTTCAACTTTCAACAAGCAATGGGTGAATTGTTGCATAGCAGTTTACGAGCTATGCCAAGTCCACGCAAGGTGGATAGGGCTTCGCTGCTTTTGTGGCCAGGTGTGCAGTGCGTATGCGTGGAGACGGCGCCGACTCAGCATACTGCAGGCTTGGGGAATGATCCCGCAGAACCTTGCCATCTTTGATGTCGCATCAGTATTCTCACAGACTGCCAGCAACACGTGTCCCTGGTTGGAACTGCTGTTCCGTGCGAAGTCATTCTTTTGGTCATCCGAACAGCGTGCCTGTTGACCACTGGCTGCAGGTTGTCTAGGGCTTTCGGCAGGGCATTTGCTTTGGGATGTGACGCTTAATAGCAGTGCACAACCATGCCTGGGAAAGCAGATTCAGTTGCGAGCTGGAAGCAGGCAGCCTCCTCAGGCAGCCCATCAAACGTCTGACTTGCAACGAGGTGCTTCGGCGCTTAGAGCTTGCAGTCATGCAAGGGAATTGCCAGTGACTGCGCTCTGCTGAAGCCGACTGGCTTTTGTGCGATCATCTACTAGTTGAGTTCTCTGACGGCGCCAGCTGTTTATACCTAATTTGCAATGACATTGTTGTGAATCTGCTAGCTCACCACCAGCATGATAGAACACCGCATATGCCCAGAGCTGCTTGAGAGATGGCTCCAGTCTCCCACATATCTCAGGCAACTCCTGCATGTTTACCGCATGCTTCGGCCTTGAAGGTTCATGAGGTTTGTGGTAGCAGGTTGGTGAGTTGCTACTGTGGCAAAAGTTCTCCGTTTGCACTGCAATCACAGCGGCTTATACTGTCATGCGTCACAACATGGCAGGCCACCTGCCATGACTCCCCACACCACTCAGCCCACGGACCAGGTGCTGCCTTCAGATTGAGCACTCCTGCATCTTTCGGATGAGGGTCTAAGCAGATTGCAAGGAGGTGCAGCACACCCCCAGCGGACAAAGCTATCATTCCGGAACTTTTCTCGGGACCGTGGAGAAGCAGAGGAGATTGGCATGCGGCAGTCAAAGCTGGAGCCTTGACTGGAGTCTGGTTCTGCCAGCGTATTCTGAATGACATTGCGGGGGCTGCGAGTCAATCTGTAAATCTGTCTTTCTTGGGAAGTCCAGAGCCTCTCAGCAGCGAGCAGCCTGCGTCTGGGAAGCCCTTCCAAGGACAACGCCAAAATCGGTGCCAGCAAGGCCATCCGAATCTTAGAGAAGATGCAAGACCGATGCTGCTGGGCTCAAGGCGTCTCTTGGTTGTGGACGTGGGCTGCCAAGCTAAACTTCACACATGTCGGCCAAGGTTGGTGTGTGGTCGGAGCAGCAGACCATGGTGAGCTGAAAGTCCAAACAGATTCCATTTATGGTGCAGGTATCGCAACTTGCAAGCAAAAGCAGGCATCACCGTGACAACGTGTGCCCACATTTCAGCCAAGCTTGATGGCGCCCAGGCCTTGCCACAAGTTGCACGTAGCTGCGACTGGCCGGGGACACTGACGGCGGCCCCTTGGCCTGCCTGACCCAGAGTGTCCAGTCTGACATCCGATGCGGCTTCTGAGGATGTGATTCGAGTCTACTTCTTCTGCCTCGTAAACTTTGCCCTGCAGGCGCGCCAAAGATGTCAGTTCAGGTGGCTTGAAGTCTTCAAGAGCACTCGGTTGACCGCGCAATGACATGAAAGTCTGCAGACGGACTTTTATTGCGTTATTGCTGTGGGGGATGCAACTGTATTGACCTGCCAGCTCGTCAGACACTGGTGCTGGAGAGGCATTTCTTCTCAGCATGATCGGTGAAGAGCAGCATTTCTGGCAACTGGGTGGCGAATAAAGTGTTTGTTTTGGTGTGCAGGTTGCATTGTTGACAGGAGACCCGGCAGGGGCTTCGAATCTGTTGTCAAAATTGCTGTTGCGGCAATTGCAGCTGTGCCCAGGTACCCATTCGCCGGCCAGATGCATTTGTGCGACTTTGGTGCATCCATCCAGGACTGGACCTGTCTGTCAGACGCGCACGAGGAAGTCCAATTCGGGATCCTATGCAGTTTAAGCCTGAACGCCTTGTCGTGCAATGCGGCAACTGGCCTTAACCCCGCCAGGATTGCCCTCACGGTGCTAACTGCGTGGGCCCTGGTGGAACATCGCTCTCGTATCCCAGGCTGTACGACTACGAATCTTGTCAGAACGACCGGCCAATGGACACTGCGTGTCAACGTTACAGTTCTTCGCAGCCCTGATTGGGCCCAGGACATTTGGAGTACAAGAACCTTTCTCAAGCAGAGCCTGCATGTCGGAGTCTAAGGTGAAGCAAATCGATCTTCCTGACCTAACTTCCTCTATATATGTAAAGATATATAAGATATTTTTCAGGCGCTCTTCCCAAAGTTGACGCTCAGCATCGATGGCTCGGTGGACCCTGGTGAGCCCGCAGCTGAGGTCTTCTTCGGGTTCTGCAGGACAACTCGGTAAAGAGTAGTCACTGTCAGCAAGCACAAAAAAAGATCATGGCTCTTGATTTCAGTCGCGTCCTATTCCCGCAACGAGCCCAAGGTATGCAGTGGAAAACTTCAACTGTCGCAGCTTGCCTGCTTTCTTGCCAGCAAAACAACCTCAGCAGCTTTGGGTGTTGGGAAAGACCTTTTCGGCGTGCCTTTGACATTTCAGGCTGCCTTTGCATTTTCCTCTTCATGCTCGCCGTCGTAGATGATCTTGAAGACACCATCAGCTTGTGCAGGCTTGACGGAAGACTGAAGTTTGCATTTCTGCCGGTAATCATATACAGCATCACTAGCAAGATGCTAGTACATTTGCAGACTGTGGCATTTCATCGCATCCGGCTTGTCTGATACTAAGTTGAACTAACATGTGCAGGCCGCTGGAAATGCAAAGTGAATGAATGAATCACAGGCATGCTGGGACATGCACAGGACCTTGGCGATGACACCAACAAACTATGACAGCTGGATCACATATGACGTTCCGTCTTGGGCCCACAAGGAAGATGTCAAGCCGCTGACCTGCAAAAGTGTCAATGTCGAGCATGTTGCTTGCACATGTTCCCACTCATCATGTTTGAGAATCATGCATAACTGAGAACATGCCTCATCGCATTGAGCAATAATGTTCACTGGAATTCTAAGTCACAGCACCCTAGCATGGTGTACTAAGCCAACCACGAGAATGGTCCTAATGCGCGCTCAGGATTAGGAGTGCTCGCCTGGAGGCAGTACTTGCCTGTGCACCGAGGAAATTTACATCGTCGGAGGAAAGGGATTTCGTTCGCTACGAAGTGGCAGGCATGCCTCTGCATTGGAAAGTGTTTAACGCTCTTTGGCTGCAGTGCCGTCAGTGCCCTGGGCCTGAGGGAGTTGATTCCTTGTTGTTACTGTATTGTTGCTTCTGGTGGCTGCTTCTGAGTTTGTCGTGCTTGCGATGCCTGTGGTATGTTGTGGTTGTGTGAGTGGTGTTGCCTCAGCTATGCCAAGCCATGAGGCCTGTTTCATTCTCTTACCCAAGTCGCTCCTTTGGCTTGGACTAGTTCGTTCTGGCGTCCATTATCTGATGGAGACTGCCGGCATTGTGGACGTGATAGTCAATGCAATGGCGTTGACCTTCGTGTTGCAGGTGCCACGTTTGACGAACATGGCACAGCTAGTGCCATTTGGTACTATGGTGTGTGCTATGTAGCATGCCAAGGTGGATGAGATTGTGTTCCAGAGGCTATCCTCGACAGTGACTACACAGATCATGCAGCTGGGAATGAAGACATACGACTCCTCTTCACCGCCATGTCGGCAAAGACAAGTGCTTACCAGAAAGTGCGCCCACACAGGGACATCCTCCCAAGGTCTGAGATTGAGTTCAAAGCACTGTACGACAACGATGATGCCAGCCACCTGAAAAGTGCTTTACTTGTGCCCTCACTGTTCTGACTTCAGCAGGTCGAGAATGAGTCTGACGGCGAAGCACTGTCATATTTTAATGACACGGAGCTCAAAAAAGGTTGGGCGAGCAGCTTGGCTTGGCTTGATGGTAGTAGCTGTCATAGCCTGCAATTGCTACATAGAGGATAGATTGCAGACAGCTACCACAAGTTGCTGCTGTAGCCGGCTAGAGGCCAATCCATCCTGATGTTGAGTTCCTTTTAGTTGCGAGAACCTCCAAGTGTGCAGGCATTGCTTTCCAGATCTTCCCGACCAGATTGTTCGCTGCCAAGATGTTGGTTGATGTTGCTGTGGTGCTTGGCGCTTGTCATGTATGTTTTGATATGTTGCTGTTACTTCCGGGGGTGATGCACAGGGTGATGCGCTGCGACAGGTTCATCATCGTAGTCTGCCAAGCTATCTTCCTGCTCCTAGACAGCATTTTGCTGCCTGTAGGTTGGGCTGCAAAGCATGCTGCAGCGATACAAGCTTGATTTGCCCAGTGGCAAGATGGTTTCACGCCTTGTGAGGTGGGACTACTATGTCTCAAACTGCAAGAGGCTTGATGATGGCAGCTGGGTGTCCAAGGCCACAGCCGTTGCTTTTGTTCAAGGCTTAGGCTCAGACCCCCTCTGGGACTATAGTCCAGATCAGCCTTTGAGGTTGTACATGTTCCTGCGTCCATAGGCGTATTCAGCAGAGCGTAGGGCTTTGCAGACACGTGATTTGCAGGCCATGTACCTGCCAGTGGACATGGGCTACCATCCACTGGAATTGATATTTGGCCTGGAGGCTTCCTGATGGCGATGTGACTTCACTTCTTGCCACGTGCAAGTGGGGCATGACATGCAGCGAGTGATGGGCTGGATTGCCCCCCAACTGCAACAAGTCAGCGTGCAAAGCGCAAGTGGCCAGGTCGAAGAAGACACCAAGCCATTCTGGACAATGCCTGGGTGAATTCCGGTCGACGTGCACCTGCCGGAGAGCCCGCCCAATCCAGGTCCTGAGAGTCTAGAAGCCAATCCAAAGACGAGGGGCTACAAGATGCTGCGGCTCAGGGCAAAAGGGTGCAGTTGAACAGAAGCAAAGCCGACGAAGTGACTTGCAGTGACAATGAAGTGTTTCAGTGCCGAGAGGACAGCTAAGAAATCTTGAGCGTCGACCGTGAAAAACTTTGTGCAGGCTTGTGCGGCAGCGCATCCGCTGAAGCAGCCTTTTGCGCTTCTGAAGCAAAAAGTCAACAGTGTTTGAGAATGGCCGCGGTCAGGTTCCACCTTCCACCTTTGGCGCCACTCTCCTGTGACTCCCCTCCTCTCCAGTCCTGGCTGTTGCTCTCTCCCTTCCAATCGGTCAGTCAACCAATCAATCAATCCATCAATCTTAGTGTCTTGTCTCCATCCCTCACTCCCTGAGCAACCAAGCGTGTCATGTGTACTCTTTGCAGTGAGGGTTGCACCTTGTCACGTGCACTTGCTCGACAGGAGAAAACTCCAGCGCCCGGTTCGAACAGCAACACAGAGCCAAAGGCGGAAAGCGTCAAAGAACTCAGACTGGTATTGGGGCAGAGAAACGTTCAGCATCCCGTTGCATCCGCGTGTAACAGTCCTTGCTCGCTTCCCAACAGAACCTTTGCCGTGCCGGCCGCAGACCTTGGACAACATCGGTCGAAGAAAGCACTGCGCTCGTCTCCTTGCAGACAGGATTGTGACGCCGAGGCAGATGGGACATCAACTTCTGTATTGCACACCACCATGCTCACACCTTCTCATAGCATTTGCTCTCAGGGCCAAACTTGGCCTGGGCCCACATGCACAAAGCTCAGTCGGATTTGCGCTACGGGGCTAGTAGTTCAGTGTGTGCGGACACGCGCGCCCCTGGCTCAGGTCTGAAGAATGTGAGCCCAGCCTTGCTTCACCCTTGGTGGCCTTGCTAACCGTGCAGACGCCACTGAAATTGCCGTCATTTTGGCACCCCAGTCGTAAGATAGGACTGTAAGGCTTACGGTGAAAGCAAGATCTTTGTCACAACTTGTTTTCTTAGGCAGGAGCACTTCAGACTTCAAAATGCAAGTTATCTTGCTTTAAGCACAAGATCAAATTGAAGGCTTTGTAGCCTTGCACATTTCAGGAGAAACATAAAGAAAAAGACGTATTGCTCTGTGACTTGCAGCAAAGACAACGAACTACCAACCCAAAAAGCATTAACGCACATGGAATTGAAAGTTGTGAGGGACGGCAAGCTGGATCAGGTTGGACGTGGGTGTCAAGCGAAATGATCATGGCTTGCAGATTGGGAGTGTCCGGCTGCTTTGTATGCAGCTCTTCAGAATTTGCGCGCAAATCCCCAACAACATGCAAACGCGCACAACCCAGTGCTTCAGCAGCAGTCATGGTGCTGAGCGCTGGCATCCACGTTTTGCTGGCCATGCTGGCATGGTCACCTGCCAAAACAAGCTGTGCTATGCTTGACATTCACTTAGCACTACTATGCCGTCGTTCATAATTCCAATTCTCTTGGAAGTGTTAGCAGGCGCTTCTGAGGTTCTCCTTAAAGCTGGATTTTCAGAGGCAGGCCACCAAAAAGCATGATGAGATGATGAGCTCCCGGGGTCTAGCAAACTGGCCCTTTGCGAGCCGAGGAACCAAAATGAACAAAAAAAACTTGCATGTTGATGAAGCCATCACTAGCCGCTAGCCTCTTACAGGGCTGTTAGAGGCCCTTGCTCAATACAAAAAGTGGAAAGCGCAGGCCAATCACCAAGGTTTTGCTTTTGGCTCTTACACGCAAAGCGGCATCCTCGGAACCAATGGCGCTCGTTGTTGACAAATTTGCTTGTGCCCTATGCATTAGTGCCCGCTTGACTCAATGCTTGCCTATGCAGCCACCGCATGCGGAACAACCAGCAGCTAAGTCTTAACTTCGCCACCGCTAGTATTGCTGGTGTCATCAGCCCGCTTACATCTCTACGTTTCTCAGTGGCAGCGCCTGTCTGTACTGTTGGACCTGGATCGCTAGCACAGTCTGGCGCAAGAACTGACGCTACATTGATTATAGTAAGTTAAGACATTGGCATTTACAATTTCGCACGCATTTACGCGTAAGATTCCAAGCGCTTGTAACTAGCCAGCCATATGAAGGGGCGCTCGGGTGCCTCTGTGCGGTCTTAGACTAAGACTCTTATACACAAGCCGCAGAAGTTCCCCGATTGGGGGTGTGGCTCGTAGATGTAGGAAGAAGCTTTTGCAGCACAGCAACCTGCCGAAGTTTGGTATTAGGGATGCTGATCTCGCAGGCATTAATTATGCGGGTGCTGTGCCTGCAAAAGTTGACAAGCAAGTAGCAGGCATGGACGATGCAGGTGCAAAAGCGCTTGCCTGTGTTGGTGCAGAAGAACTCAGAGTCAACTCAAAATCTCAGCAGTCTAGAATGCATTTTCAAGTCCAGCCAAGCTTCGTGGCTGGCCATCCCGGAAGTTGCTAGCCAACCTCATGGTACCATCTTCGGAAGCAGGAGCTTGTGCCCACGCGCATAACATCGTTTTGTTCTTTGCACCGCCTTCTGCCATTTCCCACAGGACAATCCTGGGAATGGGCTTGGGTTTACCAAGCCGGAAATGCCAGCAACATGGGACAAAGCCCCGAAGAGCACTGATGATCACGAGTACAAAGTGTTGCTGGCAGCCGGAGCTACAACCCAGCTATGCAATTCAATTGAGACTAGGACCAGGAACATTTGAGATCCACAAGTATGTTGCTCCGGGTTTCACCACGTGGCTCGACGCGTGCGTAACCATGCCTCAAAAATTGCCGAGGCGCATTGCCTGCCTTCTTTTGAGAGTTGATGCTTGGCAATGCCTTCTGCCCTTGGGCCATTTGTCGTTTGGCTCGCGGAAGCGACGTGCAAAATACCTCCGAGACCTACATACACTGGTTAGGTCGCAGCCATCAACATCAAACTAGGACATTGTTTGTTTGCATACCCCACCTTCTCACCAACCAAGTGAGCAATGGTGTAGCCTGCTGGGCAGAGTGGCCCACCCTTGCATGGTGGAGCAGCTGTTATGGCAGCCCCCCCCCCCCGACGCTGACTGCTGATGTGTTGAGTCCAATCCTAGACCCGTCACCTGGGTGCGTTCTCGCCGTGGACTCGAAGTCCTGGCAGACGTGAATGCTTGCTCGGCTCATCTGTCTGGCCTCAGCTGACTGTCATACATGAGCATCTAGCAGCACTCTGCAAAGCAGCCATAATACTCTGACAATCAACAAACACGCCGGCCTGAATGCTGCGTGAGGGGTTTCATGAGTCATCCATCTCAACCTAAATCCAGACGATAAACGGGTGCGCTTGCGCGGCGGCGTCGCAGTGCAGCATGCATCAAGAGCCGGCAAGCCTCCATGCCAGGGCTGCGAATGTTTTGCGGCTACCTTTCGAGCCACCCAAGCTGCAAGGTGAACACATTTGTTTAAACATGTTGAAACGTGTTTCAACGTTTCTTTTGAGTCTTGCTGGGAGGGGGCCATGTGGAGGCCCCTTTTGACCTTGTGAAAGGCCTGGAAGCGAATATTTAAACACATGCGTTTAAACATGTTAAAGGGAACTGGTAATTGTGCAACCCCACTAGGAGAGACTCTGCCTTGGTGCCATACCCAAATAACCCAAAGCGTTTACACACAAATGTTTAAACGCATGCTGCCCAAATGTTCAAACATGTTGGCTTAAACCGTTTAACCATGTTCGGGCTACAGGTGGTATATGTTCAAACAAGCTGTGTTTGTTGAGTCATGTTTGGTTGAAACTGTTCAAACATGTTCGGGCCACAGGCGGCATATGTTTAAACATTTTGTGTTTAACTCTTGATTTAAACCGTTTAAGCACTTCCCCGCTCCAACCCTGGAGATCTCACAAGCACATTCGAACTTGGCCTGCCCCTGTACCTTGAGGTTTGCAGCATGCCTGGCTGCTGAAGTCTTGGCTCTTTTGGCCCATTGCCTGCAGGCGTGTTGAGATTGGGGGTTCTAAGCTCACACGCCTGGGCTGAGAACGCATTTGCGCAAACGTTGGGCAAAATCTGCTTGCGAAGGGTCTTGAAGACTGTTGTGCAAGAACTTCTGCTGCTGGCCAGTGCTGGCGGTTGCTCATGTGCTTGCAGTGAAGCTGGAAGACGTTTGGGAGGGGACGGCCAGAAGGCCACTGAGCCACTCAGCCTCGGTCAGGCGGGCGACGTGGACAGGAAAAGCGCCGGCCGTGAGGTTTCGAAGTGACAGTTGCAAAGCATACAACGTGCCCTTCATGTTAAATTGAGAAGTGGCAGGCCTTTGCTCGTTTGGGGACGGGTGAGCCTCTCTTCGCGCTTGGTCTGGCACTGAAGCCGTAACTTGGCTTGGTTTGGCATATAGCCGTGAGTCACTGACAACTGGCAGTCTGGAGTAGGCATCTTCCATTACTGGCACAGGAATCTCGAAACATTTCAGCACTTGGGCAGGTTCCTGCCAGCCTTTCAGCAATCAATCGCGGAACAGGCCGGAACTCCTAACCGGCCTCACCTCATTCGCCCTGGTGTGCCGCAGGGTTGTGCACAGTTGCACACTTGCAAACATGCCTTTGGCCGTCTAGTTTATGCTGCCAGTCAACACGCTTGGTCGTAGAAACATGCTTGAGCTCACTAGCGTGCCAGGCCAAGTCAGGGCGAGAAAGCTTCTGGGCTGCCTACGACATGCAGGCAGATGGGGTTCGCATCCGTCATGTTCTGATAGCATTGCATGCCTGTCAGAGATGTGTCATACTTGTCGTATCATGTGCAAGAGAAATTGCAGCATGCCCCGCAGCCATTGCAGAGCCCAGCGCACTTCCCGTGTCTCAAGGAGCCCCGCACTTGTTGATTTGTCGCGATGGGTTGGGGCGGCTACGGCAAGGGCGGCTATGGCTGGGGCTTCCCCCCAATGATGATGATGTACGGCAAGGGCAAAGGTAAAGGACTCCGCGGCTTCTCGAACGAGAAGAAGGTTTGGATTGGTGGTCTTCCGGCGGGCCCGACGAACGTGGAGACCAACAAGAAACTCAAGGAGCACATGTCCCAAGCCGGATTGGAGTGTGTCTTTGCCGAGATCAACAAGAATGGCATTGCTGGTGCAGCATACAAGACGCCTGAGGACGTGGCAAAGGCCGTGGCAACACTCAACGGTTCTGTCTTCGAAGGTGTCCAGATCCAGGTCGACATTTGGCAGAAACCCCCCGCTGAGCCTACGGCCTGAGCTTGACTTGTACTTGGTCGCGTCAAGCAATATTAGCTCGCTGGCACGAGATTTTGAGCCGCCTCATGATGTTTCAAAAAAGGCGCTGTCGTTTTGTGCATTTGTTGTGAAGCACATTCTGTAGTTGTCTGCAGTTCAAATCAATTCAAGTTTTCAGGATGCTCAGTCAGGATGCTCGGAAGGGAGTGATGCTTGGCACCTTGGAACCCATGGCACTGCACAGACTTTTGCGAACTTGAACCTCCAGCCCGCTGCACTATGGCCCTCAGATAAGTGTAGATAGCAGCCCTGCACCAAATACCACCTCAAGCTTCAATGCGCGGCGGGCATCCATGCTGCGGCGTGGCGTGGGAAGCTACCTCGTGCACGTTCTCTAGGCCTATCTTGCATTTCCTCGTCGCCTTTCAGAAAGCCGAAGACTGTGCTGCTGCAAAAAAGGAAACGCACCCTTTTGCCTTAGGCATGACTGATGCATGAAGCTGCAGCATGACCAGTGCGACCATATGCAAGATGCTAGCGATGTCAATGTCCATTCCTGTGCGCAACAGGCTCGCGATGCAGCGCAGCTAACTCAGCAGGCCGGGAGTATGCCTGGAGCTGCCAGTTTATCTGAACAGCTATGGGACTGGCTGAACTGTGTCTTCGACCCAATACAAGATCTAGAGCGTGAAAAACTGGCCACGCAGACTGAATTTCGAAAGTGTTCCGAAAGCCTGTCCGAAAAGCTTGGGGAAGAGCGTTGGGAGCGATATCTTCAAAAGCGTCTCGCAGGAGCTCTTACCCCCAAAATAAAGTGTTCTAAAAGGTGTTTCACAAAAGCCTAGCGCCCCAGAAATCACCCGTCCTGGGCCCACGAGGAAAACATACTCACAAGGTGTTCCAGAAGTGTTCCAGAAGAGCCATGCCGCCCCAGGACGTGTCCAAAAAGTGTTCCAAAAGCATGAAACTCGGAGTTCGCTTCCAAACACAAGTGGATTCCAGAATGCTTTTCAAACACAATGCTGGACCACTCTGAAAGCACAACTCCAAACAAAAGAAGTTTGCGAAGCCGCTTTGCCAGCTTTGGAATGTGTGACGCAGGTCACACGGCCAGCGCTACAGTGGCTGCGGCAGCATTTGCGGTTGCTGGGACTTTGACAACTCTGCAAGTGCCGTGCAGAAGTGGTTTACATGGATCCCCAACCCAACCCTTTTTTGCACAGTCTACCCGCAGATATATGCGCAACTTCACAGAAAGCAGTTGACATGAGGACTCTCCAGCCAGTTGCCCCATCTTGGCCAAATATGGGCCTCAAGAGCACCACTTAAGTACCGTGCACCAGGTGGGCCTTTGCTTTGAATCTCAGGTTTCTGAAGACCGCAGATCGGCAAAGCTCCCGGCAGATGCTAGCTGGCCCAACAAGCGGTAGATGTACTTTGTCCCGGTGAGCTGATCATGATTCAGAAGTTCCTCTTGACAACTTCTAAATCCCAGGCTGACCGAAGGCGACTTGGCGTTATTGTGCAACCATGGGCGTAGCTGTGCTATGCCATGCTCACGCAGAGACGGCAAGAGCACGCATTCCGGCACGGCCTAGGCCTTCACCAGATGGCTGCTTGGCTCTCTTCCTTAAGACCTGGTGCCAGCCAGGCTGTTGCTCTGAAAAGCCTAGGCCGCAGTTGGCAGTTGTGAGGCATGCACGGCAGGCATTGAAGAGCGCCCTGGCGGATGTGATGAGAGAGTGCGAAGACGCAAAAGCCTTGTTCCAGGATCGGCTATGCGGGAAGTATATGAAGAAAGCGTGGTAGGTGAGTTGCATCAGGAACATGCAACCCAACATCCCACAGCGCACAGGCGGGCAAGCTGCAAGACGCAGAGGCCCGGTACAAGGAGCTGCTCAGCAAGCTCGATTCCCTCCAGGCCCAGGCCCCCTGTTGGGCCAGGCTTAGTTCTCGAAGAGCTTGCAATGAAACCTGGTCAAGGATCATGCTACGCCACTTGGATATCTGATATCTCCATGGCCGTCACCACTGCTCACAGCTGCTGCTACCTGGCCCTAGCACCATCTCGCACCCGCAACCATGCAAAACAGCACAAGACAACGCATGTGACAAAGAAGCTGTTTGATCCGAGACACTGTTTACAACTCACTTTGTAGCTCAAAAACATAACGCGCCATGATCAGTCCCGCAGACTCTGAGCTGGCAGACAAAGAGCAGATGTGGCTTTGGCGTTTCAATCAGCAGAGACTTGAATGGGCCAACTCTGGGAAACTCAAGGCGGCGAGCCCTTGGGAACCTCGTGAGCGCGCATCACGTTCTCTTAATCTGATGTTTCAGTTACACACAATTTCGCAAGAGCAGTTTGACGTCTGTCTCTCCCGGCACTGAGGTTCGGGACGAAGGAGGTCGCCCTTTTTTCTTATCACAGTCATTGAAGCAGGGCGAGCTCCTGTTGGAGAAGTCGAGACAAACCGAGCCTGCTTCGCACAAGCCTGACAGCAGCAGCGCCCGATCCCGCCGACCATCAAGCAGGCTGTGCCTTCGCAAAACGAGTCAACCATAGGTCCGTCGACAACGATGCAGCTTCTCATTCTCGTGCTGCCTAGTGAGTAGCCTGGTAATGGCCTTGACTTTCCTAGGTTGTTTTGTGCAAGCCTCGGGTCTCAGGTAGGTTTGGAGAAGTGGTTGCAGGATGCGTCATGTACACAAATGTGCGCGATTTTCGGCTAATTGGTCGGTTGTAAATCTTGTACTCTTGCTTGCGAATTGTTAGTTGTCAGCAGACCTTTCAGCGCAACAAAGCGCTCTCTGAAAGTCTTACTCTAATGTCGCGTGTTGGGGGAAAGTGATTGCAAGTCGAGCTCCACTAGGTGTTGACAAAAACATGCCGGGCATCCTCAGGAAATCTGTAGCGATTCAGAAACTTGTTGCTTCATGGCCAGAAGCCTGCGCCCACGAGTCACAAAGGTGCGTCCGAACTAAGTCAGCTTCGAGCATGGCAGTCTCCCACTACCACACTGAGCAGCGACGGGCCTTTCAGATAGACACGAGTGTGCTTGGAGCCAAGTACTCTCCGTCCAAGCCGCGCTTTGCGAAGGGAAGGTAACTTCCACATCTACCAGTTGAGCAACTGCTTGCGCTTTGGCAGTCGAGCCTTTTATTTGCAAGTCATGCCTTTGCCCTGAAGCTGGTCTAGCAACAGCGCATGCCCTGACTCGCCCTCGCATGTGGGCAGCACTTTGAAGAAGCTGTTGCCAACTGCACTGCACGCCCCTTTTCTTCAGAATTTCAACATAGGCGGGCCCCGCAAGGGCCCATCCTGCAGCCCTTCCAAAGGAAGCTTTTTGCTTTAGGAACTCTAGCGCTCAGGTGAGGCTCATGCTCACTACATGTATGTATTTAGCTCATTTGGAGAGACTGGCATATTGAGCTGGGAAATTGTTCTCACACTGTCCAAGATTTGAACCCTGCCCGGCCACAGAAATCTTGCTGTTAGAGGATGATGTGAGAGCCTGTCTGTCAGAAGAAAATGCGCTACATGGCTGGAAGTGTACTTTCTGCCTGGAGTATGAGCTTGTAGGAATTGTATGCGGGCGTCGCTAGCACGACTGTATTCAAAGCGAAGAAGCTTCCAGCCGCGCCATGTCTGCAGGGGCGGCCAGACATGCTTCGCGCTGAACGCGTCCGCGTTCTTACGTTGCCCAGCCAAACAATGGTACAACATTGAGAAGCACGGTATGGACAGTACTGATCATGATGAGCTGCATCCGCAAGGAACCTGGCCGTCTGCCAGAAAAAGCAGAGCCGTTCGCAACTGAGTTGTTCTATGAAGCTTTGCGAAGCCTCAAGCTGATCTTGACCTATGGACTGTTGATCTGAACTCATGGGTCGTGCGACTTAATGTCTGACCTCGAGCTGCATGCAGGTTATCAAGCAGCTGTAGAATCAGCTACATCTGCTTTGCTGCTGGAGCCAGCGTCTGTGAAGGCAAGGGGTAGCATGCTTTCCCAAAGCAAGGCACTGAGGGGTCTAGATCTCTGTGCATCCCCAGGCGCTCTTCACACGCGCTGGCTGCCTTCGCGCTGAGGGCTGTTTGGGCGAGGCAGTGGAGGATTTTGCCACTGCTGAGAACTCAGAATAGTCAGAGCGCGCACCTGCCGACCAAGATATAAAAGCTGACCTGCGGGTCTTCAGGCATGCAGGCATGATGCTTCCTTTGTCGATGCCAAGAAAGAGTGGCTGCAAGCGCGAAGGGACAGGGCCAAGGCAGCCGCTATCATTTTGAAACCACCTGAAAACTTGGAGCGCCCACTTGATTGAAGTCTCCAGCAAGAAACACAAAAGGTTAGTACAACAGCAATGAAGTTCGCCAGGCAACGGGAGAGTCGCATTTTAGCAGAGTGCCGGCCCAAGTATGCCCTTGCGTTGGTTTGAACGGAGTGGAGATTGACCCGCCTGGGCTTGTTGGTAAGGCTGAAGTCCTGACGCTCATAGAAGAGATGAGCCGCAATCAGCTGGCAGTGCAGGAGGCAAGCATCGCCAGAGGTGAAGATACAGATTGGCCCAGTGGCCCAAGCCATTTCCTTCCTGATCCTCACTTCACTCTGTGTCTGGGATGGTCAACTGCATGTGTTCCCTGACCTTTTTGCTCACGCATGCATTTTCTGCCTTGTGCACGTTTCTTTGCCTGTTTGCTTCTCCTTGCTACCTCTTAGCTCTGCCCATATCACGAAAGCTATGGACAGCTTTTGGGACCACCTGGTCTCATGTTTCGGAGATTTAGAGAAGCTCGCGCCGGGGAAGGCCGCCCCACCCGAAACGCTGGGTCTATCGGGCGGGTTTTTGCCCTAACCTCAAGGGCCAATGCAGGACAGCCGCCCCGGCCGCCCCGGGCTTGAACGAAATTCGATTCTGGAATCGTGTTTCAAGGGACAAATTTATTTTCGAAAGTGATTGAGCTGGCGGATACGAACACTGAATCAGCAATTGGGGGGTATTACAAGGAAGTAGGGGGGTCA